TCCATATTCTTTTGCATTTGATTCTAGATAATTCTTGGGCCAATATCCCTATACCCTAGCCTAAACATTCTAAACACTAAACCCTGAAGCCTAGACCCTAAACCCCCAAACCCTAAACCTAAGCCCTTAACCCTAAACCCTAAACCAGAAGGACCCCCGAATTTCCGAACTCCACGGACCGGCCCGGTTATCCTACAACATGACCGCAGCGTAGGATGCTGTAGTTCTAGGGACTCTAGGAGGGACCCCTAGTAGGGACCCTTAATCCCATTATCATATATAACCCTTATATGAGCCACTGTCTAAACTCCTAGTATCCATAATCCCTAATATAATCCCCTATATAATCCTCTATATAACCCCCCTTTAAGGAGTTTAGACTATAGCTCATATGGTCATTGTATAAACCCTATATTAGGGGTCCCTGCAAGAAGACCTTAGAGTAGTCCAAGAGCAGAAGGAAGCTTACTTCAACTGACGGGTTTCGGGTCTGGGGGTTAGGGTGCTTGGGAAAAGATTGGGGTTATTTAGGGAAAATGGAGAAGAACATGGAAACCACTATAGTAGAATATGGTATATACTTGCTGCGGCTTAGTAGGGAATACTGGAATACAGTATATTGGGATTATGTAGGGGTTATACTCCCTTCTTGCCGAAGAAGGACCAGTAAGTCAAGGTTCCTGCCTTCTTTGTTCAGGCTTCGGGGTTTAGGGTTTAGGGTTCTAACCCATATTCTATCTACTTAAGTGGGACCATAAAAAGGGGGGTCGTCCAGCCTGACTGCAACGGAATCGTCTCGTTCTTTTCCGCATCGTACGACATGTCCTTGGCGCTGAATTGGGTACTGCCCCACACTGCACCAGTCTATATTCGGGGGCATATTAAGGCCCATATATAACTGGATTAGAAAAATTATCCAACTGTGACAGAGTGGGGGCAGTACCCAACATATTGTCTAAACGTCTGCCGAAGCTAGACGTCCTTTAGGCAACCAGCAAGATCATCTAGCCCTATATACCCCTATATAACCCTATATATCCCTATATAACCCCAAATATACCCCTATAGAGTGTTTGGGGCCATCCTGCACACCCCAGTATGTAGAAGCCCAAGTTCTGAAACGGCCACCAATGTCAAGTTGAGAATTTTCTTAGCAATCCTTCACTATGGTTATGCAAGATATGTAAAGCGATAATGTATATAACCCTTGAAAGTCCGAGTTTGCATTTAACTTTCTCCATTTGATCCCCTGAACCGTAAACCCTGAACTTATCCATTACTTGAGCTATAGTCTAAACTCCTAGTATCTCCCCTGATAACCCTTATAGTAGTCCCCCATTATAATCCACTATAGAACCCCCTTTCAAGGAGTTTAGACTATAGCTCACTTGGGGGGATCATCTCGTAGCCCTAAGCCCCCAATGATAGGGCGCCTTGAAGAACTCTTCAAAGTCGAGCAGCTGTAGTGTCAGCGGGGCCCATTATGGACAGTTTTTCAGTATCAGATTTGAGCCGTGGCCTCAAGGTGCGGTCTTCTAAGGGTTTAGGGTTTAGGGGTTTAGGGTTTAGGGGTTTAGGGTTTCTAGGGCTCCCTTTTCGGAAGTCCTTACGACGGGGTTCCAACATGTTAACACCATCTGTGGGGTATGAGGGGGGCCCGCATTTTGGAAACATATGCAAGGATGCAAACACCAGCTGCCATCAGCTACCAAAACCTCACAACTTGTCAAAGATCTCTTCCAGCTTTTGACAGCACATGGATACTTGTAACCTACCTAGAACTGTTACTACAAGCCAATTGTAGCCTTGATGCCGGCTTCAAATCGAGTTAAAAGTGGAGAAAAGAGGGGTTCTGGGTCAGCATAAACCTCCAAGAAAGCCACCAAGAAAAGTTGATCGCACCAGACTCTTCCGCTTTTGGCAAGCAGGGCGTCACAGCTGTACGAATAGTTGGGCGTTTGCCGCGCAGTGAAGCCCTTTAATGGTAATTCTGTCGCGGGATCTCTTCCCCAAGAGGGCAGGTCGCTTCTCAGCTGTCATGATATGGGCAAGAGTACTATGAGCTATAGTCCAAACTCTTAGTATCCCCCTTCCTAGCCCCCATGATACTCCCTTATATCCCCTATAGAACCCCCCTTGAAGGAGAATAGACGATAGCTCATATGGGTGGTTGTCAAAATTATGGTCCCTTTTTGGGTACCCTAAATATTAAGTGCCGCATTATAATAGGGATCCCAAAAGGGCCCATAATTTTGACAACCACCCATATGAATACCAATGACTATCGAACCACAGGAGCTCATCGACCTGGGAGCAGCGGTGAGACTGATACAGACTGATACTACTGGGAGTGACGCTGTCCTGCATCTTAGGGGTGTCAGGAATATAGGGGTTATATAGGGAATATATTATACATTGGGACTGTATAGGGTTATATGAGGTTTGTGGGATGAGTAGCAGGGACAACGCCTCTCAAAAGCGGCTGACTCATTGCGCTTTTCACTAGTAATCCTCAGATGAGACGTGTTCAGGGAAGTGCAAAGGCCAAGGAGGCTACTGTATGGGCCTAAATGATTGCAAAGGGAGGTTGTGACATCATATAAAGCAGCTATGCTGTACCAGAAAACTCAAGGCAGCAACATCCCAAGCAAAGGATTTGGCAAGATTCGGCCCACATGCTTCCCAAAAGGAGGGCCAACAAATCTAAAGAGCAGCCTCTGTTAAGAATGTACCCTGCCCCAAACCAACCTGGAAGCCCCGCAAAAGATCAGGATCGTTTTGACAAGGGCAAGGGGGCTAGAAGAAGTTCCGTGTTAGGTGGCTGAGGTTGGAAATTCCAATCTTTCTACATACGGTCGGGTAATTAAAGTTGGCTTCCGTTCAATGTTCCACTGTCTGTTCCATGCCGTTCTCCATTACCATAGGAGCCATAGTCTAAACTCCGCCTTCATAATCCCTATAAGGCCCCTATATAGTCCTTTAGATAACTCCGTTTATGGAGTTTAGACTTTATGGAGTTTTTAGACTATGGCTCATAGGACATATCCTAAAGCCTAAACCCGGAACGCTATAGGCTAGAGGGTAAACCTGAACACCATCCGAGGCCAGAAGATCATGTTAGCCACTTTAGGGTTCAGGGTTTAGGGGCTAGGATTTAGGGTTCAGGGTTCAGGGTTTAGGGTTTAGGTTTTAGGGTTTAGGGGTGTAGGCTTTAGCAGACAGTTTTTCAAGTCGAAGCAAAGGCTAACAAAGTTCTTACGGAGGCCCCATACATGGCGGGGGAGATGGGAATGCAGTCAGGAAATCTTAGGATCTACTAGGGATCGTGTCCGCAACATTTAACGTAGACCCGTGATTAATAAACCCCCTCCCCTTAATAGGGATAATAAGTAGGATCCTAGGATTAAGGCCCGCAAATGAAGGGGGGTTGTTGATCATGGTTCTACATTTCCTGGTACATACCTACTTGGAGGGTCAGGGGGACTTCGTAAGTAGTTTAATTCTTAGGATACTTCCCTCAACCCCGAACCCAGGGGGTGTATAAGTACACTAAACCCTAAACCCTAAACAGAAAGTATCCAAGTCCAGGAGCGCCTTCGTCCTCCTCTTCGATACTCGGCTTAGGGTTTGGAAATTGGGGTGGAAGCCTGAACAAACCCTAGACCCTAAACACCCATGCTTTTTGCTTATAATCCTGACATGACTATGGTAGAATACAACCCCAAACCTATTCTATTTGTTTAGCCCCCCTACATAACCTGCTAGGAGGTTCAGGGTAATTTTGTCCAAGACATAGCTGGCACCTCAGATCCACTTATAAATAAACTATAACCACATCGGGGGACTTCGGGTATTGGGTTCTAGGTCGAATCATAACTAGGTTATAATGGTAGAAATCCCTAAACCCCAAACCCTAAACCTTACACCCCAAACCCTAAGCCCTATACCCTATATCTGAGTTCAGGAACGTCCTCATCCTCCTCGTCGTCGTCCTCACCGGACTCCTCCTCCTCACCTTCACCCTCCTGGGGCTGTGTAGGGCTCAGGGTTGAGGATCTTCGGGTCTAGGGTTTAGGGCTTAGGGTCTAGGGTCTTAGGGTTTAGGGTCTTGGGGTGTAGGGTTTAAGGTTTAGGGTCTTAGGGTTTAGGGTTTAGGGCTTTGGGTTTAGGGTTTAGGGTTCAGGAAGTTAGGTAGAATAGGCGTTGGGGATGTGTATATATACCAGAACACACTGTAAACATACAAAGATAGTAAGGGCATATCGCTGGCAAATTTTCAGGCTTATGCAATGACGTTTCGAGCGTTCTCCAAAGCTTGGGGTCTAGGATTAGAACCCTAAACCCTGAACCCTAAACCCTATATAAACCCGAACCCTTAACCCTAAAGTTTAAGATTTAAGGCTCAGGGTTTCTCATGAAACTCAAGGCACCAACGCAACTGAGGCCTGAGCGCGAAATTTACAGCTTTAGGGTTTAGGGGGAGGACATGCAAGAAAATGACACTAGCAAAAAAACATGTAGGATGGCATTCTATAGATTCTCCTAGTGCATGGCACCACCCAACCTGAGAATGCCTTATTGCTTGTCCTGTACTGCATACAAAGAATCCTGCAGATGCCTTAGCCCATGCACAGAGAAAATGTTCCGCGGATTTTAGGATGCGCATGCAACACTACGACGAATAGCCCCTCGAACCCACAAACCTCGTTAACATCTCTTCGAGAGCTAAATCCTACCCTAATCCCCAACCCACATCCAAACCCTGACCCCAAACCCCTTTAACCCTCTTAACCCCCCTTAAACCTAAACCCTGAACCCGTCCTCCATGTCCTCCTCCTTGTCTTCCCGCAAGGTACCACGAAGCCAGTCGAGGAAAGCGGTTACCTGCCCACAAAGGAGTTAAGAGTTTAGGGTTTAGGGGTTAGTGTTAAAGGTTTGGGGCTTCAAAACCCTTAACCCCAAACCCTTAATCTTCACCCAGGGTTTAGGGTTCAGGGTTGCTGTCGGGTTTCAGGTTGCAGGATTTGATGTTTGGGGTCTGGGGGTGTTGGGACCCTACGCCCTAAACCCTAAACCCTAAGCCCTAAACCCTAAACCCTAAGCCCTAAGCCCTAAACCCTAGGCCCTAAACCCTAAACCCTAAGCTCTAAACCCTAAAACCTAAACCCTGTGGAGTTCGGGCCTGGAACATGGCACTGGTCTTGCCGGGAGTGTCGTCATCGCCCATGGCCCACATGTCAAAGTAATCCTCCTCGATGACCTCACGCTGTTTAGGGTTTAGGGTTTAAAGTTTAGGGGTTTAGGGGTTAAGTGGTTTAGGGTTTAGGTTTTAGGGTTTCGGGGTTTAGGGTTTAGGATTTAGGGGTTTAAGGTTTAGGGTTTTAGGGTTTCAGGGTTTAGGGTTTTAGGGTTTAGGGTTTAGGTTGGATACCGCCCCCACCCAGTGACAGTCCATAATAGGGGTCCTATTGAGAGCTATATATAACCATATTATAATTAACATCAAACTGTTGCTGAGGGGGGGCAGTACCCAAGGTTTAGGGTTTAGGGTTCGGACCCTTGGTTTTCGATCCTGAACCATGGAATATAACCCTGAGTTTAGAATATTTGGGAACCCAAAACCCAAGTTGCAAAGCTTAAAGTCGTTGACACGCCGGATGCCGGGGGAATTGCTTTTGAGCTCACTGCCCTGTTATGTGGGGGGTTCCAAAAAACAGGGGTCGCCAATGTACACCCCAAGTGCAATCAAACCCCAATGCCTAGAAAACCTTGTGTATGACATATTACATAATATGATGGTTTCACGAAATAACCTATGGCCACATCGCATCGCTCACATCTTTCTCGCACACGAAAATGTTTACTCACAAAGCTTGCCCGCCGCTTGTTGCCGGAGCGACTGCCTTGCTTGCAGCCAACTGCAGTTACAGGCATTTGTTACTAAGCATGCCACGGTTGTATACATGCAAGCAGCCGGCGTCGCCTTCATAACAGTGCCAGTTCAATGGGTGTATGGTTTAGGGTGTTTGGGGTGTTCGGGGTGTTTGGGGAGGGGGGGGGGGCGTTTAGGGCAGATAACTTTCTTCGGCTTCAGCAGCAAGGCTTTGGCGTTCAGCTGCAATAGGCCGCATTGCTGAAAGGAACGTCTAAGCGTGCTGCTCATGCAACGTACCGCCGAACTTATGCTCAATGCTTCAATGCCAACGGGAGCTCCGGGTCTTGGACCCTCCTGTTTGGGGGTCTGCATGGGAACCCACTCAGGTAACCTCAAGCCCTAGTTCCTCAACCCTAAACCCAATTCCATCCAGCCCCCTTGACATTCCAAGCAGGGAAGCACTCTTTGACAGGAAGCGTCAGGCCCAGTTGGGCCCAAAGTTCTAGGGTTTAGGGATTTTGGAGCTTCAGGGTCTAAGGGTTTGGGGATCTGAGGGTTTAGGAGTTAAGGGGGTTGGGTTCAGGGCATACAGTAGGGTTTCTGGCCTCATACAGAGCCAAGTTATGTGCCGCTGCTTGTTGCACACACAGTGAGAAGGACAAAAGCTGCAACTGCACCAGCTGCGGACATGACAGAACCGTCTGGAAAGTAAACCCTAAACCCTAAACCCTCAACCCTAAACTCTAAACCCCTAAACCCTAAACCCAGCGGAGTGGCTAGCTGAATCCTGCCTTGCGGTAGGATCTTCACTTATGCTCCGCCAAGTTGGACACCAAATCGCGGTTTAGGGTTTAGGGTTAAGGGCACTCACCAAATTTCTCAGGAACCCCATACTTCAACAAAAACTACTTCACCTAACGTTCATACCCCATCCTTAACCCTACATGTCACTATAAACTATACATATCATTCACTTGATGTGGGTGTGACAAGACCCACCAAATCAAGCTTTACCGCGAGGCTGTCAGCAACCACGGCTTAGGGTGTAGGATTTGGGCTCTACGGCTTAGGCAAGAGCACGTTGGGAGGAAAGACAACGCATGAGGCAACCAGAGGCCTGTAAGAAAAGGACACTGCAAACACATAAACCCTAAACCCTAAATAGCCTCTCTAACAATAAAGTGGAACCTCAAAAAGAGGCCTATGAAGACCCCTGTCCTCAGAAAGGGATAGGCTGGGTTCCATGTTTGTGTTTTAGGGCTTAGGGGTTAGGTTACCACATTAGCAACAGACCAAGCATGACTGACATCTATGTGCAGGACTTGCCCCTGCATGACGAGGTGGCTGGCTTCAAAACAGGAATGATACCCCGCACACTAGCAACAGCAGTAGGTTCCATATTAGGCCCCCTTGGCGAATCCTTAGAACTTTCCACACCCTAAACGAATTCAACAAGAAACCAACATCCATAAGTCCTGAACGCTAAGCCCTAAACCCTGAACCCAAGCCTCTGCACGATACAGGCCATCAAAGAAAGCCTCTAGGAGAGCTGTAGCGGGGGATAGCCTCTGGCAGACTTGTCTTTGGTTCGGCTTATGGCTCAGGATGTAAGAGTTAGGGTTTAGGTTGGGTACTGCCCCCCCCCCCAGTAACAGTCTATATTAGGGGTCCTATTAAGGGCTATATATAACCATATTATAGCTATTATCCAACTGTTA